GAAGGAACGTAACATTGCACATTGCTGTCCAATGGAGAGTGTCCCTGCAACATCGATCAAGTCTCTAATTTATTTTATTTTACAGTGTATCCCCCTCCCCTTGCTGGTTCCAGTGACCAGCATCCCTGTTATTTGTTTATTAAAGTACAGGAAACCGTATATATTGTGTTGTGTTGATTTGTTATAATCGTTACTGGTATATTTCTTTCTCTGCACAGTCTCAGTTGTGGTGATATACATTCACCAAACGATCCCCACCCCGTGACAGCGGACGAGCTGAGAGGGAGGAGACTTATTAGATCAGCACGCTACCAGAGAAACAAAGACTATTAGACCGGTATTAAAGACAAACTCCCCGATCCTGAATACGGTGTAGCCCCATAAAGCCCCCCCCCCCCGCATTTAACGTCACAATATCATTGCTTCCATGTGTTTTGGGAAGAAGTAAGACAATGCTGTAACATATATTCACACCATCGTGTTTTGTACAACCTTAATTATGTCCTTCCTCCCAATATGTGCTCCCTTATTTTCCTTCAATGACCCCAGAAATACAATGGCGCTAATCGCAGGTAATCGAACACTGGCAACGCTATGACAAAATACGTATTAACAGAACCTACCTAACCATAATTTGGAATGACATTTTGGATGAGATGTAGTACTATGGTGGTACTATAGTGTGTAATACTTATTGATATTTCATCACCGTAACATCTGTTTCGTGACAGATATAAATATGATGACCCTGAACTTCTGAAGATCATGAGAGTCCTGAAAGATGTAAATAAATCGTTTGGGAATGGACTAGTAGCTGACTTTGTCCCATTATTCCGTTATATACCTACCCCAGATCACCCACAACTTGAGGAAATATCTGACGGAATGGCTAAACATAATTCAACATCAGATTAATGAACATAAACTTGTAAAAGGTAACACAATAAATCCTGATTATCTTTTCGGAAGTTATTTCTGGTTTAATGAATTGTGTTGGTAGTACGGTGTTGGTAGAAAATTAAATACGGTCACTGTAACCGACCCTGGGCCAATGGTAACAACAGGGGATATATTTCAGAGGCTACATAATAGTAAATTCCTGTCACAAATTGATTTAAGTAAGGGTATTTGGCAGATACCAGTAGCTGAAGAAGATATACCAAAGACAGCATTTGTTACTCCCGATGGAACTTATGAATTTTTAAGGATGCCATTTGGAATGAAGAATTCGGGAGCTACTCTGGTGCAGGGAATCAGGAAATTATTTTCAGGTATGGAGGGGGTTGGAAGCTATATAGATGACCTGATAGTTTATTCAAGCTGCTGGGATGAGCATGTTCAAGTATTATCTGAGTTGTTACGAAGACTGAGGGCAGCGGACATAACAGCTAGACCATCCAAGTGTGTTCTGGGTGCAACATCAGTAGAATTCCTGGATCATGAAATTGGACACAGTTGGGTGAGTCCGAGTCACGACAACATGAAAAAAAGTCGAGAAGCGCAAAGACCAGCGACCAAGAAAGGTGTCCGATCATCTTTGGGCTGGTCAATTACTACAGAGACCACATCCCCTTATTCGCAACTATTGCAGCACCCCTAAGTGATCTACTAAGGAAAGGACAACCCAACAAAGTTATATGGGGAGAGGCCCAGGAGAAAACATTGCGTGTGACATTCACACGTTTCTACCCATAAATGACTGACCCCATGCAATACTACCAGTTCATAGTATCAGCTAATCATGTATTAGCTTTGCCGTTCGAACCAAGGTGCTGATATTATTAAAACAAATTATATTATACCATATATACCGTATATTAGTGTTAGTCCATTGATTTGAATGGTCTAAACACAAAATTTGCATCTGAAATCAACGGTATATTGGCTGATAATGTACGGCTAAACCAAGTGGCCCTTGAACATGAATTGACTACAGGTTTAATCAGGAAATACATAAAAACGGTATTATTTGATATTTGGGGAAACATAGTTGTTGAATTTTAGAAGAATGTTGAAAAAAATACAGAATTAAAAACATACAACCATAATATTGCTTTTTGTTAATGGTGGGAGCCAAGTTGTGAGCGTCAGTCGTTGGGTGATTGTCGTTCGCCACACAAACCTAAACCACCGTCACTCGACACCGTGAGGTGCCTAAACGAACGCCAGAACTTCCAACAAAGAAAACATGATCTTTAAGTACTATATGAGATTGGGGGATTGAAGGACAAAAACAAATGCAAAAAACTACGAGTCACAGGCAAAAATGTATGCCACCAATAACATCCGGTGTCCCGTAGCGGCGTTCGAATTCTAGCTGACAAAATTGCTGACAAAATTGCAGTGCACCCTGGTAATTGCCATCTGTTTCAAAGAACGTTCCTTTTTCATGTGGAATAAAAATTAGTTTGTATTCAATTTGAACAGTGTTGCGCATGTAATTTTTGAGTGCATTCAGCGTATTTATGCATTGCTAAATTATATTATAGCATTATCAATACCAGTGGATTTTATGACGTCATTGCAGCAGATTATTCGCGATAATGTATTACATAATTGAGCATCAAGGCCCTGTCCCATGGATAGGAATACAATGTTGTTTTCGAAAACGAATAAAGAAGAAACTATTGAAAAAGAAGAGAAATTGTTAGATAACAAGTATTTAATACCAAAATCGGCATCAAATAAAACGGTCCATAACCAATAACAGCGGATTTCAATATCGAAATCAGACAATATTGTGAGGGCATCGTCGTCTGCTCTGTACGCTAATGCGCGTTCGGTCGAAGCGTTCCATCTAGTACGCGCGCTTCTAGATTCCGCGACTGATGCCGCTGACCTGGTGGCCTCCTGGTTAGTTCGCCATATCGTGTTGATGAAGTGAGGTTAACCGAGGATGATTTATCCAAGCAAATGCGATAAATGAAATGGGGGTACAATGTATGTCTACGAGTACAGAGAGATGAATTTGTTCTGTTTTGTAGTGACAAAAGACCGACGTGACTTGCATTTCCTCGGCGTCGACCCCCGGTAAATGTCACAGTCCGGGCACAGTTTGCATAAATAATTGAAAGTATCCATGTTTTCAGGTGTGTATTTATTTATACAGTGAGATTAAAATTGTTGGTTCTCCTTCTAGGATGACTAACACCCACTAGCTTTCCCGTCATGTTCGTTCGCCCGCTACGCCTGTAAGTTTCGTTTGGCCTCAAATTATTCGTCAAATCCCCGCCCTCGCGTGGAATTTAAAATAACTATTGCACATACTGAACAGTTGCCAATAATATCTACCTTGACTGTTTGAAAACACTAGTGGGATGGGGTAACGATGCAACTACGTACATGTACCCCGGGTACGCAACCCTACGCACAGTCGACCCAGCTGGACCACGGCGGCGATCTAGCGTAGCGTAGGGCAAGGCCGTGGCGGACACAGATAAGGCGTACCAGTCACGGTGTGCCGTTCGCTCGGGTGGTCACTGCAATGCTACTCCACACTAAACATCAGTCACCCATTCATTCGCAATGTAAATGAGTTCAATACAATAATATTTGATGGATTAAAACTAATTTCTTTTTTAGTTTGCCATATGAGATTGTGGAAACGATTTCCAGAAAAACATTATTTAGATTCACGAGCCAGTGACTGTGTAACTATTCCGTTCACTGTAGATTTTTCTCAAAATTTTGCGCTTTTTAGAGGCAGCAAATCTACTGGTAATGACAACGCTACAAAATAATAACAATAATGAACTCCCCGACAACCCATAATGGACTCAAGCACACTTTGTGCTATATATATGTACTCGGCTCACGTCTCGTACATATATGTCGCACAAAGTGAGCTTTCGCCCATTATGGGTTAGCGGGTCGTTCATTATTGTTTAATTATACATAAACATCACTAAACTTCAGACTCACTAGCTTCAACTTATCAAGATAGGTGGTATTATACAGTAAAAGGCACAACGCTTTGCTTATAAACGTATTTATCAAAAAATTAAAAGCCTTGATTAACATTCAAATAATCAAAAGTGTTGGCTCAATGTCTAAACACTGTCTGCGTCAACAATGCGCGTGACATAGCAACTGCGACTACCCACATAATCAAAATGAGATGCACGTGCTCGCTGATTGGACAATGTTAAACTATTTATTAATGTTAACTAAAACTAATACCGGATTGGCCAACTGTGTGAGATTATTGCTACGGGCAGTATTGAATCGTCACCTGTATTAGGGGGAAAATCTTCTCCTCTGTGGGTTCGCCACACGTGTCAGGGGGGAATATCGTCTCGTCTCTCTATCACGTCCCTTTGAGGTACGGGTTCGGGAAAGTCACTTAAACTTTACAGTAAAATAGACACACACAACGAAATACGTTTCAACTCTCGTGTTAGTCGGTCAGTCGAGCACTCTATAAGACACAGCGCCCTGGGGAAAAGTTCCCAATACTATCACAAGGCTGACCCAAGACTATCTCTAGACTGCGTCAAGACTCGCCCCAAGACTCTCCAGGACTGCCTCTCTCCTCGTGTACTCGCCAAGACCAACTAAAACAACTTTATTCACTTTCAAAACCTTAACCAATTACAAAACAGCATAAAGACTCTAGGACGTAACCTTCACAAATTCAACTAATCACACTAAGTACTGGGCTTTTCATATCTTTTCGTTCACTACATTAATAATTGCGAATACCAAACTATCAGAAATAGTAGTCCGAATAGCGACGGTTATCTGGTAATTAGTTCCAAATCACTGAGCCAAGTTCCGTCCAGAACCTTGCCTAAACGATGACAGACATAACACAGTCATTCACTCGTAATCAATATATATATATTGATGCTGGCGATCTGGATGTTTAATACTGACACTGTATGGAAATAACAGTGAAAAACGTGTTTTTATATCATGATTCATTTTGGTTGCGATGATTTGCACCAACTAACAAATTCATCTCAGTGACGACGTTGGAGTGAAAGAGGTTGGCATTATAATAGAAACAATGGGCTCCGCTAAAGTAAACACCATTTACATTTACAGTCATCGCATGATAAGTTTAACTTACTTAACGACAATTTTACAAATTGTCATTTTGTTACCTTACATCGAGGTAGCCAGAAAAAAAGAGAACAAAATGTTGTCGGCTTTTCTCTTGGTGTAACCATGCTTTTAACCTTAATCGTATTAATTATCACTATCACAATATTCCATCAATATGTGACTACAAAAATTGTGGTGTATATGACAGTTGTTGACCAGATATTAACAACATTTCTATTTCTTTCCATAGTTATCCAAAATTGAACCCTACCAAAAAACGAAATCATGAGAAATCTGGATGTTATTTTCTCTGTCGCATCTCTGCTGTATCAGCTTTTCTGTGATATAATATTTTCTGTATTTCTAAGTTAGGTATAGATGAATACATTAGTTTCGTACGTTTCGTCGTGTTGTACGTTTGTCTAAATAATTATTTACGGCCAATTTCGTAGGTAATAATCGAAAAGTGTTTTACGAGGTTCCTGGCTCCATATTCACTCTGTAGTATTGCTTCCTTGTGAGAAGTTCTTTGTGACAATGTACAATGGTTATTTGTATCCGGAATATACATAAACACATGTTATAACCTTCGATTTGTTGTCCCTAAAATGAATTCATGTCTTACGTGAAATATATGCATATGTTTTCGCTGTGTCTACAATAGAAAATGATTTACTCTAAACAGGAGAAACATTAAATGCACACTCCGACATTTTGTTAGAACTCGTTTCGATATAGTCCTAAAACGGGGATGTATAGTTTCACTTCTGTGCATGTGTCTAACAGTGACTGTGTTTCCTATCCAATTACTCAATCCATTGCAGGTGGGTACAAACTGCCGAAGGATACATGGATTTGGTGTAATTTGT